TGTGTCACTCAGTAACAATTCTGTGTCTGTCCCTGAGTAACAATTCTGTGTCCCTAAGTAACGTTTCTGTGGCCCTAAGTAACGATTCTGTGGCCCTAAGTAACGATTCTGTGGCCCTAAGTAACGTTCCTGTAGCCTAAGTAACGGTTCTGTGGCCCTAAGTAACGGTTCTGTGGCCCTAAGTAACGGTTCTGTGGCCCTCAGTAACAATTCTGTGGCCCCTCAGTAACAATTCTGTGGCCCTCAGTAACAATTCTGTGGCAGTATACAATTCTGTGGCCCTCAGTAACAATTCTGTGTCTGTCCCTGAGTAACAATTCTGTGGCCCTAAGTAACGTTTCTGTGGCCCTAAGTAATGTTTCTGTGGCCCTCAGTAACAATTCTGTATCGCCCTCAGTAACAATTCTGTGTCTGTCCCTGAGTAACAATTCTGTGTCCCTAAGTAACAATTCTGTGGCCCTAAGTAAAAGTTTCTGTGGCCCTAAGTAACGTTTCTGTGGCCCTAAGTAACGATTCTGTGGCCCTAAGTAACGTTTCTTTGGCCCTAAGTAACGTTTCTGTGGCCCTCAGTAACAAATCTGTGTCCCTCAGTAACAATTCTGTGTCTGTCCCTAAGTAACAATTTTGTGGCCCTAAGTAACGTTTCTGTGGCCCTAAGTAACGTTTCTGTGGCCCTAAGTAACGTTTCTGTGGCCTCAGTAACAAATCTGTGTCCCTCAGTAACAATTCTGTGTCTGTCCCTAAGTAACAATTCTGTGGCCCTAAGTAACGTTTCTGTGGCCCTAAGTAACGTTTCTGTGGCCCTCAGTAACAATTCTGTGTCCCTCAATAACAATTTTGTGTCTGTCCGCAAGTATCAATTCAGTGGCCCTAAGTAACGTTTCTTCTAACGTTTTCTTGGCCCTAAGTAACGTTTCTGTGGCCCTAAGTAACGATTCTGTGGCCCTCAGTAACAATTCTGTATCCCTCAGTAACAATTCTGTGTCTGTCCCTGAGTAACAATTCTGTGTCCCTAAGTAACGTTTCTGTGGCCCTAACGAACGATTCTGTGGCCCTAAGTAACGTTTCTGTGGCCCTAAGTAACGTTTCTGTGGCCCTCAGTAACAATTCTGTGTCCCTCAATAACAATTCTGTGTCTGTCCCTAAGTAACAATTCTGTGGCCCTAAGTAACGATTCTGTGGCCCTCAGTAACAAATCTGTGTCCCTCAGTAACAATTCTGTGTCTGTCCCTTAGTAACAATTCTGTGGCCCTAAGTAACGTTTCTGTGGCCCTAAGTAACGGTTCTGTGGCCCTCAGTAACAATTCTGTGTCCCTCAATAACAATTATGTGTCTGTCCCTAAGTAACAATTCTGTGGCCCTAAGTAACGATTCTGTGGCCCTCAGTAACAAATCTGTGTCCCCTCAGTAACAATTCTGTCTGTCCCTGAGTAACAATTCTGTGGCCCTCAGTAACAATTCTGTGTCTGTCCCTGAGTAACAATTCTGTGTCCCTAAGTAACGTTTCTGTGGCCCTAAGTAACGGTTCTGTGGCCCTCAGTAACAATTCTGTGTCCCTCAATAACAATTATGTGTCTGTCCCTGAGTAACAATTCTGTGGCCCTGAGTAACAATTCTGTGTCCCTCAGTAACAATTCTGTGTCCCTGAGTAACAATTCTGTGTCCCTCAGTAACAATTCTGTGTCCCTCAGTAACAGTTCTGTGTCCCTGAGTAACAATTCTGTGTCTGTCCCTGAGTAACAATTCTGTGTCCCTAAGTAACATTTCTGTGTCCCTAAGTAACAATTCTGTGTCCCTCAGTAACAAATCTGTGTCCCTCAGTAACAATTCTGTGAGGGACACAGAATCCCTGTTACTTGGTTTACGTGAAAGTTATAGCGTTTACAAATGGCAGGAAAGGTACTGGGATTTAAAAAATTTTTTTTATACTAATAATGGCGGCGATCAGCGACTTATGGCGGCGATCAGTGACTTATGGCGGCGATCGGCGACTTATGGCGGGACTGCGGGACTGCGGCAGACATTCTGACACTGGGGGGAACTGACTTGGGGTTACTGACATCCCCAGTGACACCAATACAGTGATCAGTGCAAAAAAAAAAAAACTGACACTGTACTAATGGCACTGGGGAGGAAGGGGTTAACTTTATTATTCAGTGAAAGGGTTTTAACTGTGTGAGGGGAGTGTTTTACTAGGGGGCGGGGGTGTGTACTGCAGGGAACACCACTGACCGGGAGAGATAAACTCTTCTCTGCTGATCAGCCTGTCAGGAGCTGTCAGGGAACTGACAGAAAGCACAGCTACTGCAGCTGTGCTCTCTGTCACTGATTGCCGCTAATCGCCGGGACATAGCCGGTAACGCCCGGTTGTGACTCGGCGACTGACATCCGCGCCCGTGATCGGTGGGACAGGTAGGTAGGGCGGTGGCGCGCCCCCTACCTGTTTTGAAAACACACGTTTTAAAACGTGGTTTTGCCCAGCTGTGCCGCCCTGCCACCGTATTTTCTACAGTGGCTGGGCGGCATGTGGTTAAAGCCATGGGAGTTTATCAAGTGACCAAGGGAGGAGGTGTAGATGGAGAAGAGAAGGGGTCCAAGGACAGAACTTTGAGGGACCCCTACAGAAAGAGGAAGTGTAGAGGAGGATACAGAGTTATAGGTAATGCTTAAGGAGCACTGCAATAGGTAGGAGGAGAACCAGGAGAGAGCAGCAGAATCTCAGAGGCCAAGAGAGTGGAGTTTTTTGAGGAGGAGGGGATGGTCAACAGTATCAAAAGCCGCAGAGAGATCAAGTAGTAAGAGTATAGAGTAGTGACCATTGTTTTTAGCAGTTAGTAAATCATTAGTGAGTTTTAGTAGGGCAGTTTCAGTGGAGTGTAGTGAGCGAAAGCCAGACTGTAAAGGTTCGAGAAGGTTGTTGTCAGTGAGGTAGGAGCTCAGGCGATTGTAGACTAAGCATTCAAAGAGTTTAGAGGTAAACCGGAGCAGGAAGATGGGTCTTAAGTTGTTCAGTTTGGTGGGGACCAGCAAGGGCTTTTTAAGTATGGGAGTGATGTGTGCATGCTTTTGAGGGGTGGGGAAGGCACCATTAGAGAGGGAGAGATTGAAGATGTGAGTGAGGGAGCATAGGATAGAAGAGGGTGACTGTAGTAGTTGTGAGGGGACAGCATCCAGGGGGCTGGTGGTGAGATGGGTTTCTGAGAAAACTTTAATGACCACTTCAGTAGTAGCATGGTCAAAAGAAGAACATGGTGAGGGAGGTTTAGTATAAAGTATGCTAAGTGGGATAGATGTCTGTGCAGTGGTGATGCCCCTACGAATTGCAGCAATGTTTTTGAAATGATTTGCAATCTCAGAAGCAGTGAGTGAGGTACTGGGTGGAGGTGGAGAAAGTAGAGAAGAGACAATGAGGACTGGATGACAAGGTATTAATAAGAGTGACAAAGTAGGCTTGTTTAGCAGCATGGAGAGAGGAATTGTATGTTAAGAAAGCAAATTTATATAGAGTGAAAGCTTGCGCAGATTTGGTTTTACGCCACAATCGCTCCAGTGCACAACTACAGTATGTCGCTTAACATTTCTAGTGTCATCAGTCTGCCACGGTTGTAATGGTTGGGGCCTGATACTTTGTGTAGTTAGAGGAGCAAGTGAGTCCAGTGTAGATGAAAGCAAACTGTTGTAGACAGCAATGGCCAGGTCAGGGAAGGACAGGGGAGAGATTCTGTCATAGAGGCTGTCAGTTCCAGAGTGGGAAAGAGAAGGGTTTAAGTTGTGAAGGTTTCTGCGGGTAATTGTTTGCTGTTCGGAGGGATAGGTGTTTGAAGACTAGTACACTGTGAAGGTGATGAGATTTGATCAGAGAGAGGAAAGGGGGTGTTTGAGAGGTTGTAGGGAGTGCAAAGATGGGAGAATACAAGGTCTACTGTATGCACCATAAAAGGAGCAGTGCCAATCCATTGTAATGATGCATCACATTTTTAACTTTTTTTAACTTTATTAAATTCTCACAAAATAACATTTCATTTATTTTTATAAATGGCAGCACATTACAATGCAGTTTTGTGCATCTTAACATGCTGCACTGAAAAAAAGTAAGGTGTATCCTACCTTTTTGCAGTGCACACAACTGCAGCACTGTGGTGTGAACTAAACTGAAAGGACACAAGGCCTTGCCTGTGCGTTGAGATTGCATTGGAGAAAGCTTCCCCCCCAGTCCAATGCATGTGAATGGGCCCTTAACCACTTGCCCTCCAGAGTATTTACCCCCCACCTGACCAGGCCATTTTATGCGATATGGCGCTGCGTTGCTGTAGCTGACAATTGCGCAGTCATGCAATGCTGCACCCAAATTAAATTTGTCCTTTTTTCTCACATATAGAGCTTTCTTTTGGTGGTATTTGATCGTCTGCATTTTTTATTTTTTGCACTATAAAAAAAAAGACCGTCAATTTTGAGAAAATAACAATATTTTTGACTTTTTGCTTTTAGCCACTAGCCTACAGGGCACTTATATAACCCCCTTCCTGCTGAGGCCAATTTCCAGCTCTCAGCGCTGTCACACTTTAAATGATAATTGCGTGTTCATGCAACACTGTACCCATATGAAATTTTTATCATTTTTTTTTTGTGACAGATAGAGCTTTCTTTTGATGGTATTTAATCACCTCTGGGTTTTTTATTTTTTCTTAAACAAACCAAAAACCACTGAAAATTTTGAAAAAAAAAAAAAAAAAAATGTTTTCTTAGTTTTTGTTATAAAATTTTGTAAAATAAGTGATTTTTCTCCTTTACTGATGTGCGCTAATGAAGCTGTAGTGATGGTCACTGATAAGATGCACTGATGGGCACTGATAGGTGGCACTGATGGGCACTGATAAGGATGCACTGATAGGTGGCACTGATGGGCATTGACAGGCATCACTGATGGGCACTGAAAGGCAGCACTGATATATGGCACTGATAGCCAGCACTGATAGCCAGCACTGACTGGCACTTTTAGGTGGCACTGACTGGCACTTTTAGGTGGCACTGACTGGCACTGATAGGTGACACTGACTGGCACTGATAGGTGGCACTGATTGGCAGCACTGATAGGTGGCACTGATTGACATTGATAGGTGGCACTGACTGGCACTGATGGGTGACACTGAAAGGCAGCTCAGATGGGCACTGATGTGCACTGTTGGGAATGATATGTGGCATTGATGTGGCACTGATGGGCACTGGCAGTTGGCACTGTTCAGCACTGACAGCTGCCACTTCTGGGGCCACACTGATCATCAGGGCACACTGATCATCAGTGCCCTGATGGTCAGTGTACCTGTCCCCTCCGCGGAATGCCGATTACCGGCTCTCCTCTCCCCTCGAGCTGTCGGCGTAACAGCTCGAGAGGAGAGAAATGCCGATAACCAGCATTTCCCTGTTTACATGTGATCAGCTGTGATTGGACACAGCTGATCACATGACCGAGCCGACATTTTTGGCTCTTTCCGTGGTCCGAGGGACACAGCGCACCGCCGATCGCCACGCTGCGCGCGCCCTCCCTGAGCCGCGCATGCTCCGTGAGAATGTAAGGATGTCATATGACAAAGAGAACCACCTTGCGCCTGTCATTGGACTATATGGCGGGCGGGAGGTGGTTAAACATGTCCAGTAAAAAAAATTAAAAAATCAAATTTTGTCATAAATGTATGCCAAAATGTATTCTGCTCCATGTCTTTGCTAAAACAAAATCCCAATACATGTAAATTAATTGGTTTACGTGAACTGTCACTGACATCCCCAGTGATACCAATACAGTGATCAGTGCTAATAAAAAGTACTGACACTGTACTAATGACACTGGCAGGAAGAGGTTAATATCTGGGGTGATCAAAAGGTTAACTGTGTGATGTTTTGCTATGTGCCATGTGTGCTTTACACTGTCAGCACACTGTCAGTGTGCAGGAGCTGACAGGGGAGAGATCTGGATTGTTTACATACAGGTCTCTCCCTCGTCAGTTATACTCAGAGATCGTCAGGTGCCAGCCAGGACCCGGAGATCGACAGTTGAGGCCACCAGTGGTAGGTCATGTGCACGGCCTGCGCATGCCCCTACCCAGAAATGCAAAACAACATATATATATATATATATATATATATATATATATATATATATATATATTATATATATATTTATATATACACACACATGATTTTGTGCACCCCTGCCGTCCTGTAGCAGTACTTCTGCTATAGAGTGGTAGGAAAGTGTTTAAGAAATGAAATAAGTGATTCTCACATATTTCTATAGTGTGACCACTGAGTTCAAGTAGAATATATGTTATGCCCTTTCCTCCTTTCCTGTTTCCTACTGCCCAAGTATGGCAAACAGCCTCAATTCTTGAAGTTGATATTTACACACCAATTTACAGAGGCTTTGTGACTCCTGAAGCAAAATACAATGTGAATGTGAAAAAATGTGAACAAATATGAGGACCTCTCTTGGTGCTAGCTTACCAACACTGGTACATTTTTAGGATTTGATTATAGGGTCTGGCAATACATTATACAATCTTCTTGAGAATTTTTCTTTAGATTTACCAAAAAACATATAATATGAGGCCAAACCTAAACAACACTTTCAATTGTATTCAATTAGGCAGGCCCTTGCACTACATAGTTGAAGGTAAATCTAAAGGAAATTGGGCAGAAATTTGAGAGAAAATTGCAAGAAATGTGTATAGTGTATGGCCAGCCTAAGACCAGTTTTTAGATCTGTTGCTTGGAACACAGGATGTCAAGTTGCCCTTTATGTTATTATTGCTAGACATCTGTAAAGTATATCTGTGCAATCTGCTGAGGAAAATGTATAAGAATGTTATTTAATCACCTTGAAAAAATTATATTAAATATGTCTTACAAGATTCACAATGTAGAAATAATTCAAGCGAACAGCAAACTCCCCTTCAGGCTGAAAATCTTTTGTGGGAATTACTGTATTGCATTCAAAGTAAAGAAACACCTGGTAAGGTGGGGGCTGATCACTGTTTTATGTCTGTTTTTTGTTTAATTAGTTACATGCACTTTTGAACAAATTCATACTTGATTTTCATGTGGGCAAACTCACCTAAATATAATCAAACATTTTAACTGGAGGCGTTCTAAGCAGTAAGTGGATCTTTGTAGCATCGCTGACACCAATAGTATCATTTTCAACAAAAAGTGTAAATAATGAATATAGATAGATATATATGTGTTCAATTGATATGTTTCACAGCACAACATGCCCATTTTTAGTTCTCTGCATGAGGTCTTCTTCGAAGTTGCTGCTGTTATCAGAACAAAGTAGGAAATTATTTACAGTATTCGCTTTCTAGATTTGATTTGTGTCTCCTTTAATCAGTCCTGTGTTAACACTTTAAAATAAATGTTGCATCCTCAGAGCAGAGGAAGTAAGTGTTCTGTGTAGAGCAGCACATTTTGCAGAGCTAATTATTTTAATACAATGTGAGTTTTTTTTAGGACAAATTCATGTTTGTTTATGTATAAAGGTGAATCATGTTCTATTAACATTGTCAAATTAAAAAAGCTATGTATGTTGCAGGCTTTACAACTGGCATATCTAACAAAAGCCTTTCATAAGCCCAGACTAGTTGTGTGGCAAATTTGACTTTTGTCAAAACTACAGATTGTGGCTTGTCAAGCCTTAAATGTGGTGGCTGCATTAGATTTATTTTTCTCTTTTTTTCTTTTATTTTCACCTGGTGATCTGGCCAGCAACACTGCCTGGATCACTAGGTGAAAATAAAGGAAAGAAATCTTAAAAAAGCTGGAGTATAAAACATTTTTGTTCATGGGTTTACTTTTATTTTACTTAACTTTTAAGTGTGCACACAACAAGGGAGTCATTCACTTTGAAGTGGTCAGTGTAAAGGAGGGTGGGGGTGAGTGTAATGAACACTTTTTTAAAAGTATGGCAAAGAGCAACTTCACAACTTCATTAGTCTTACTACACGAGTGTTTGCTATCAATTTTTTGCCAACATATTATTGTCACTGCTGATTAATTGCCTAATATTTAGTTTGCAAAGAACTGTATATTGTTAATGATTACAATCATTTAAAAAAAAAACAGTTTTAGCTTTTTTTCTGTACTTTTATTTATTTCAGGGCTCTTTATTTCTTTCCAGATACTTCCTGTCTATACTATGTGCTGCTGTGTGGGCTGCAAATCATTGCTCAGGGATGTTTTTCTGATGGTGTAAACAGCAGAACAGATCTATGCAGTGTTCTGCTTGTAGTCTTCACAGGAAACATGTGCCAAGTTGACTACACAGTGGCACATTTTGGAAACATTTTCTCTGTCACTCTGCTCTCTCCTTCTAATAGCATGTTTCTGGCTCTGCAGCACAATGTAGGGACTCATTGTGCTACTTCTCCCCTCCTGACTTTGAGCCCTGCTGTAAAGGGACAACAGGAGGCTGGTACCAAGCCAAATTCAGTTATTTTATACCATTTCCTTTTAAAAGAATTACATTTGAAGACATATTAATATCTACATAGCTTTGTTAATCTGTGTTTTATATCTGCCTGGACATCTTTATCTCATGGAATATATGGCTACAAACTTACACTTCTTTTCAGACTGAAAACCAAATAAAATTATCTGAATATCTAAACTTGCTGCTTCAGGAAGTCAAGCTGAAGGCAAACAGCAACTGGGACCTAGAGCTTTACAAACAGTTCTTCAAAGTAAAAGGATGGGGGGGGGGCAAACTGGCTGATCCCCAGAAAACCAACCTGTTTGTAAAATGCTAGAACAGAGTTAGCAGACTGAGTACAGAAGCAAAAGATGGGTCTGAGATATACTCCAAGCCTATCCATATCATGAAATGTCATCTATGCATGTAACTTTGTGAAGTCCTCATATACTGTTTAGCATCAGATTATAGAGCTCTTCCGCAATTACACTATATTTCCAAAGGTATTGGGAAGCTTAGACTGTAGGGTTCCATATTGTGTTGGCCCACACTTTGCAGCTATAACAGCTTCAACTCTTCTGGGAAGGCTATCCACAAGGTTTAGGAATGTGTCTATGGGAATGTTTGACCATTCTTCCAGAAGTGCATTTGTTAGGTCAGGCACTGATCTTGGATGAGAAGGCCTGGTTCGCAGTTTCCACTCTAATTCATCCCAAAGGTGTTCCATCTGGTTGAGGTTAGGACTCTGTACAGGCCAGTTCCTCCACCCCAAACTCGTTCATCTATGTCTTTATGGAACTTGCTTTGTGCACTGATGGGCAGTCAGTTTGGAATAGGAAGGGGCCATCCAAAAACTGTTCCCACAAAGTTGGGAGCATGTAATTGTCCAAAATGTCTTGAACTAAGGGGCCAAGCCCAACCCTGAAAAACAACCCCACACCATAATCCCCCCTCCACCAAACTTTACACTTGGCACAATGCAGTCAGGCAAGTACTGTTTCTCCTGGCAACCACCAAACCAAGGCATGTTGATTGGGTTGCCAGACAGAGAAGTATGATTCATCACTCCAAAGAACACGTCTCTACTGCTCTAGAGTCTAGCTGCAACACGCTTTATCCAACGCTTTGCATTGCACTGCACTTGGTGATGTAAGGCTTGGATGCAGCTGCTCGGGCCACATAAAACCCATTCCATGATGCTCTCTATGCACTGCTGCGCAAATCTGAAGGCCACACAAAGTTTGGAGGTCTTTAGCTATTGACTTTTCAGACAGTTGGCCACTTGCTGTTGTTCCCAGTTGCTTCCACTTTGTTATAATACCACTAACAGTTGACTGTGGAATATTTAGTAGCAAGGAAATTTCATGGATGGACTTATTGCACAGGTGGCAACCTATCACGTTACCATGAATTTACTGAGCTGCTGAGAGCAACCCATTCATTCCCAAATGTTTGTAGAAGCAGTCTACATGCCTAGGTGCTTGATTTTAGACACCTGTGGCCATGGAGGTTATTGGAACACTTGAATCCAATGATTTGAAGGGGTGTCCCAATACTTTTGGCAATATAGCGAATGACATAGTATAGTGCACAAGACAACACTTAGATAGCTAAGAGGCACTAGGGGCATTCAGGAAACCAATAGTCAGCATGCGACTTTCACAACTATTGTTTCTATTCCCCTGGTTAAAGTGGAACTTTACCCATAACAGCTTGATAAAGAAATACTGCAAGAAACATGCAATCCACATTATTAACAATGCTACTAAAATTAGTGTGTGCTGTGAATTGCCTCCAGCTTTGTTCCTGTTCTCACCGGAGGCTTCCTTTTTGTTGAAGCCCACAGCCCCAGAGCAATATTATATCTTTAGGCGGTCAGCAGATTGACCTCTACAAATGCACAGTGCCTAAAAATAGAGAGCAACTGAGCATGTGCAGAACAGAATGAGACAGTGCTTTTCTAGATGTTAAACAGTATAGGCACTTATTTTTAATGTGTTACATAGCTACAGTATACCTGAAAAAAGGGAATACCTGAAGTAATCTAGCACAATTTAATTT